TGGAGGTGGTAGGGATCGATCTCATATAACCCCTCACCAAATTTCAGTGGTCTAACATAAATACTTCCAGAGATAAGGACAATGAAAAATTCCATTTGTATGGGAGGTGCCACGCCCCCTTTATATATCAAAATATTTTTTACCCTGTGACCATCCCTGGAAGATATCCAGTGCGTGTGTAAAATTTGGTTACGATCGGCTTATTCGTTTAGGAGCCAAGTGTGTCTATAGGTACATACATAATTTGAATTTTATATATATAGATTAAAAGGACCATGGACTTGGTCACGTCGATTTGGTCAGTTTTCAAGATCGTGGTGGATGAAGTCAAACATGTATTGTCAAATATTATGAATCGTTTGATATTTAAGTTAATAGTAGTTTCAAGCATATAAGTATTTACACACATCAACATAATACAATTAGGGTGAGTCCATTTATGCCGAAGAAGCACATTTTTCGCGGTTTCTAAATTTGCCGTTATATGAAACTAGGGGACGCGCATTAAGTTTTTAGATAAACATAAATATTTTAGTTAAAAAATAAATCCTTTTGGGGACCCTCTAATAGGACGATATTGCTTTGCATTCAGCTTGAACGAAAAAAGTCACTCCCTGGCATACTATTCTGTAATCCTGTTCTATCATTTAAAGGTTATTTATAAAATTGAAGAAATTTTTTTTTTAGAAAAAAACTGGAGATCCATTTAAGTTTTTCGATATAACTTTGGTAAATGTTACTCGATCGGCACGTAATAATTACCAAATCAGGCGAGACTTGCTGTTACGGTTCTATGATAATAATATGATGAAAATCGTTCAGATTATAAACAAATTATTTAAAAAAAAAAAAAAAATGTTGAACAATTTGTATATTGTATGCATGAACATAAGTAAACTAATTAGTGTTTGTAGAAGTTGTGCCCGTTTAGTTATTTCATACTCATTTGCATAAATAAAATTTTTCCACGATGATGGAAAATAATGGCCACCGAAATTGTTCCAAAAATTGCAAAAATTCGCAAACTATAGCTAATATTAAAAAAGATAAGAATATTTGGAAACAGCGGCATATATGCACGCCAGTAATACTAATGCTGTTCTTTACATCTTTTAACTATAGGCCAGTGCAATTATCAAGAGAACAATTAAAATTTCATTGAAAAAAGATAACTTTGAGATTAACGATAAGCTAAAGGGCTGCGAGAAATTATATTTGACTTTATATTTTGCGTTGACGGATTTACTATCTAATAATATGCACCAAACCTTTTTGCTGAACCCAGAATTTTGAACAAGAATTGGTCTTATTCGACTAGTGTGCTGTGGGTAACTTGGCGGTCGATGCGCGGGCTCTTACAATTAAAATAAAAGACTAATAATTTGTAGGCTTGTTGTTGACTTCATGATACAATATATTTTCACTATTACCAAGGGATTTGAGAAAAATTAGATTTTCGACCCGCCCTAAAGTACATGCTTTTTTCAGATGTATTTTTTCTTAGATTTTGTATAAAAAAAAGAAAACTGTATAGGTATAGGGTTGGTCGAATGAATGGCCTCCTAGTCACCAGTTCCGAGTCTTTTCGATTGCTGAGTATGAGGCTTTATGTTGGACAAAAGACGGAGTATAGAGGAGCCAAATGGAGGAAATTAGCCTATGGTTACAGAAGATATCGTCATTACACACGAATAAAGGCGCGCTAGTATTTTGACGGCGAAAAAATGGGCGTAAAAAAGCTTTGCGAAAAAAGATGCTTATGAAAAACTTCGGCGAAGTATGTTAAGAGTCTTTGACGCTGAAGTGTTTTTATGCGTCTTTTTTCGCCGTCATTTTTTGAGCTCGCGCCTTTATTCGTGTCTAGTGACGATATGTAATAAAGTAACCGACGAAGACTTGCGTGCCGCTAGATTAATAAAATTTATTATTATTAATTAATAAAATTTAAGTAAAATCTGTGGATAATTAACAATAAACTACTTTTTTCGCAAAATCTATAAAGTTCCCTTTTATTTTTCAATAAATCCTGTGCAACAGTTATTATTTTACGCTCTGTATATGATAAAATATTAATAGCTGGAAAAAGGAATACAAAAGAAGTACAAAACTAAGAAAGGAGTACATTTCCAGATATTTTTTTTGGGAGTACAAGGGAGTACATTACAATAAAAAGGAGTACGTTTACTCCCAAAAGCAGTACGTCTGGCAAACCTAATATTAATCGACAAATGCAATTCGATTACTATTGTTACCTTAAATTCAACCGCGACTTCAAACAAATTACAATACGTTAACTTTCGTATGTCATAATCCCAATGTGTTCAGACGACTGCCGGTTCACGTAATTTTCTTTCGTACAATTGCTGACTTGTTCCCTTCAGTCGCGATTCGAGCCCAGATTTCAATGAAATCCCATCGAAATCCTCAGTTTTCTAAAACAAACATTTTAATTCCAAAAAGTTCAATCCTTCAGACAGCTTAACGTAAAAAATAACTAAGACGTATGCACAGTTATTAATACAAGCTGTGAGAGGGCACATGAACTTAACCAAAATATGTCGAGGAAATCCCAAATAGCTGCCGAAATGAGGCCGAAATCTCAGAAGAAGAAGGGATGGATCCATTAAAATGCATATCGAAATGATCAGGACGATGAGCTGAGCCGATTTAGCCAGTACCGTCTGTACCTCGGTATGTCTGTTTGAACGTAATCTAGTCGCTTAGCTTTCCAGATATTCCATTGAAATTTGGTAACCGGATGTATTTTTATTATATATTAATCAATTGTCGGAGCCGGCAAAATCGGACCACTACAACAAATAACTTTCATATACAACTGATTTTTCAGATACATTATATATTTTTATAACTCCTCCATTTTTGCAGCTAGGAACATGAAATTTCGCCCCACTTTTACCTAATATCAACATATAGTTTACAGTGAAAATTAGCACTATAACTTATAGCCTACATACAACTGATTTTTCAGATATGTGGGTTTACTTTAAAACTCCTTCATTTGCGCGGCTAAAACATAGGAATTTCGTGAGCTATTTTATAAATAATCATACAATGTTTAAAGAGAAAATCGTCAAGATCGGTGTGCTATAAGATATATCTGCTATACCACTGATTGTTCAGATAAATGTTTCTGCGATATAACTTCTTTATGTAGGCAGCTAATACCATGCAATTTTGTGACCTGTTTACTTATCGATCATACAAGGCCCATTAAGAAATTCATTTAGATAGGTATAACTAGCTGATTGTTCAGATGTAAGTTTTTTTTTTGTATATTACTCTTCTGCTAATGTTTGTACTAAAGGTAATTTTTAGCTGCTTAAGAACTAATTTAAAATGTAGTAAAGGTTGAAGTAAAGTTTTTTTAAAGGTATGAAACCTTCGGCTAGCCGAAGGCCACACAGTCCTTACCCAGCAAAAAATCGGTAATCGCTTTTAGTGGTAACGTGTTCTAGAAGGCATAGCGTTATAATGCCTTCGAATTTTTTCGCTTCTTTTAGGCATTGCCAGTAATGCAAAGTAGAATGTCCTACAATATTTTATTTATCTCGCTTCTTCGTTTCATTTCGGGGAATGCAAAGTAGAATGTTCTATAATATTTATTTTTTAATTCGTTTCTTTGCTTAATTTCCGGGAATGCAAAGTAGAATGTCCTACAATATTTTATTTGTTTCGCTTCTTTGCGTCATTTCAGGTAATGCAAAGTAGAATGTCCGACAATATTTTATTCGTTTCGCTTCTTTGCTTCATTTCGGGGAATGCAAATTAGAATGTCCTACAATTTTTTATTTGTTTTGCTTCTTTGCTTCATTTCGGGGAATGCAAAGTAGAATGCTGCATCGTAGTCAGCTGAAAAATGGAATGAATATCCAAAAATTCTTTTTCTACCGTTACTTTCTGTGGAAATTTGTCTCGCATAAAATTCATGTTTTGCTTTGTTCAATTTGCAGCGAAGTTGAAGTCAGTCAATGAAGTGACGTACAAGAGTGAGGAAGTACAATTTTAAGCTTAATTAAATATGCATGTATGTACATACCGATTTTAAAGAAAATCTAAATACCTAAATACAAACATATGTACGCTGATTTATAAAAATTTTAATTAATTTTAACCTTTTAAGACATTTTCTGATTTCAATTTAATATAAATAAGTATGTACTTATCTAGGCATTCTACATTAGTTTCTCTGTAAGGCATTCTTTGTTCGCTTGTCTGGATTCTGTTTATCCATGCATTCTCCCTTCGTTTGAAGGTAATGCTGCGGGTAAGGGCTTACCTCCAATGATATGCCCATGTTAAAATAAGGCCTTCTTGAAGCGAAACGGTAAGCGATTCCCATCGCCAAG